GTTCACGGGCCCCATTAAAAGGGGGGGGGGGGGGGTCAGTATCAGATTTTGTGAATGAGGCACCTTGTTGTCTGGGGTGGGAGAGGTTCTTTGGCAAGTTATAAGAGAAATGAGGAGCACACTGCGAATAAGAAGGGAAAGGAACGGAAGGCATTGCAAGTTTTACGTCACGTCTAAGGAAATTATATGTGTAACTTGCTGCTCTGCCTTAGCGACTCTTCATAAGGTGGTTCAGCAAAATCGTGTTTAACGGCAAGGGGAGAACTCCAGACCAATATTATTATTAAATATGCAGTATAGATAACCATATACTGAAGCCTGCTTTTATATGCGGGTGCCCCCTTTAGAAGAAATGCAAATATAGGTTGGTAAGGAAAATAAAGGTTTGCTCTTCCAACCTCCAGAGCCTCAGTAGTGTTACCAGCAATGTACAGTTCTATTCAGTTATAGCCCCTCCCCCATCTAACCTGCGCCGGATATGGAAACCTAAACACCTATTGGGGTTAATTTGTTACATAAAGTACAGGCACTCAGCAACTTGAATACAAATGTTAAAGGATTCATACAGTTCACTTGAAATCATATCAGAGGTCAGTGGTAGTTTCTTTTTGTTTTCACTGGACCTCTCCTCCTAAGGAGTCCAGGGAAGCCATCTGCACATGTGCAAGATCCGAACATACATCTGTATTGGACTGTCAGGCTGGGGAGGAGTGTGCTTTAAAGTGTAGGTGGCTTTCGTGCAATTGGTTCAGCTATCACCAGGTTCTGTATGATCCAGTCACATATTGAGGCCCGTCGGGACTCCCCTAACAGGAAACGTCTTTAGTTTGTAGTGAATTGTGCATAAAATTGTATCGTAAGTATCTAAGCAGGAAGTGCGATTAGCAGCTTTGTTTTAAACTTGAGTCTAGGACGCATGGAGGGGGAAGCAGGAGGTACGGCTGTGTCTATTAGTCTAACCAGTTAGAATTTAGACTTTAGAGGGTCCCATGGTCATAGAAAGGATTTTCTGATCCTGAACCTTTGGGTAATTCTCGTATAGTGACTCTCTGTTGGGTTTTCTCCGGTTCGGCTATGGATATGATTTGTGTGTTGGGTCTAACTCAGGAAACCGAACATACCTGCTTGGTGTATCCTTGGTGGGAAGACCCCCAGCACTGCAAGGCCTAACTTGTTCAGTCACTTGGCCACCAAGCTGCTCTTAACCCATAAGTCTTATTTAACTGACTGTTCACCTGTTTCTTCTATTTCACTGGGACTCGGTTGACCTTTGAGTTCCCAGCTCCAGGCACCGCAGCCATTATTAGGAAGTCTTACCTTCCTTGTTGAATTTTTAATTTATTATGGAATGCAGGAAGAGAACTGCAGAATTGCAGTCAATGGGTACTTGGTTGGGTATATCTCATCGCAAGAGAATCAAGTGGGACTTTTAGCCCACCAGGACCTGCCCAGAAGTGATCTTGGATGACCTAGGGTTGTGTCTGGTTGCTACAGGCTAGGCCGCATCACTGTTTTTCCGTTTAAAAAAAAAAAAAGTACGCCTACTATTATGAACTTCTATGTAAAGACATGCAAGGCAGACGTCAGCTGCTTAATAAAACTTTAAAATACATTTATAACTAAGGCGTGTATTCAAAAATATAGCCAAGTGCCTTTCATGTATTACTATTCCAATATGTCTTGCTCAGCGGCACTTTGATAAGTCGTTAAGCTTTGGTTTAATAAATTATTGCAATAACCTGATGAAGGAATAATGCTCTTAAAGGGGTCAGTCAGCTCTAAACTGGTTTTGGGGTTTCCTGTAAGATATCCCCGGTGGGGTTCCAGGCTCCGCCCACATGCTGCTTTTACAGTTTAAGAAAAACTGAGACCTCGTGGTAGTAATAGCAGCTAGAACTCCGGCAAAAGGATATCATTACAAAACTCTGAATGGTGAAAGGAGGAGGTGCTTGATTCCGCGGACCTGCCTGCACCCGAAACGTAAAAATCAGATTTAGGTAGACTGACCCTTTAAGTGGAAGAATGTTACTTTAAAGTAATTCTTGTACTCTTATCACCGATACTGTACCGAGCTTTCACTGTAAGCTTTTATCGAACATATTGAAGGGTAAAGCCCGTCTTTATGCGTCTTTTTTTTTTTTTTTTCTGTGAGGTTTTGTAAATTTGTATTTTAAAGGTGAAACGTGTGTGTGTGTGTAAAGTCTTTTTAATTGTAATATTAAGTTTGCATGGAAGGGAACCTGAACACACAGATTTACCCGGAAGTCCTATCAACTCCCCGCGCTGGAGACCTAGTCGCTTTTTACGTTTAATAGGAGAGATTGTATTCAACAAAACCTTTATTGCATCTGATTGTTAAAATAAATATAAGGCTTGAATGCATTGTTTACATTTGGAAAATATGGAGAATAATAATAAACCTGATGTTTGCTATGAAATCAACTGCGTTCTTGTTTGCTTTTGGAACAAAATATAAACTGCAGAGGGACAAAACCGACTCAGAAAGCATGTTTCTTAGGCCTCAATGACAGCTCCGTGCTGCTTGGACGGCCGTATCGGGCAGATCCCGGGAAGGACGGGTGCTGCGTGTGATTAGTACGCAGCCCCCGTCCTTCTCTATGGGACTACGCGGCCGTACGCTCACC